CCTATATCATGTGAAGCCACCGAGCCGTGGTCCCCGAGGGAACTGGTGCCCGGAGCAAGGCCAATTGCTGAATGCTGCAGCCGACTAAGGCCGCTATGCAACAGTGGAGGATTAGAGAAACTGATGTTTGCCTGGCACTCCGCGGCGAAGTGGGGAGGTGGAACTTCCACCCCGCTGCGGAACCCGTGGTGGGACCCCTGAGTCAGACGGTTCGTCTCGGTCACGCTTCATATCGGGCGGCCCGGGAGGGAAGAGACACGCAGGGTTACCCCAACGCAGCACACCCTCCCGGCCATCAGAGTCGAACCCGCAGTTCGGAGAAACCGACAGCCAGAGCACCGGCACGTGGACCGGGGGAGAAGGCCCTCCGATGGCGGGTCGCGTTTGCCATTCGATCAGTGAGGTCAGAGGAGAAGAACCCGCAGTTCGGAGGAACCGACCGCCAGAGCACCGGCACGAGGCCGGGCCGGTGGAGGCCCTCCGATGGCGGGTCGCGTTTGCCATTCGATCAGTGAGGTGAGAGGAACGCAGCAAAAATGGACAAAATCCGTTAATGTACGGTCGGAGGAATGTGAGGGGAGTTGTCAGGGGACTCTACCCGCATTATGATACACTATTTTCGGATATTTTGGCCCGTTTTCATGGTTCTCCAAAAAGTTAACAGACTTTTTCTGACTCTGGAGGAATGTGAGGGGAGTTGTCAGGGGACTCTACCCGCATTATGATGCACTATTTTCGGATACTTTTTTACATTTTCACCCCTTTTGTCTGGTTCTTTTTCTTTTTCTTTCTGTTTTGGCCCGTTTCACCCGGTTCCTTCTACCGGGGGCACTGCCCGGTCCTGGGTGCCCCCCGACGGCCTTTGTCCAGTCGTTCCCCCCCCAACTCCCCTCACATTCCTCCAGAGTCAGAAAAAGTGTAAGTTAACTTTTTGGAGAACCATGAAAACGGGCCAAAAGTATCCGAAAATAGTGCATCATAATGCGGGTAGAGTCCCCTGACAACTCCCCTCACATTCCTCCAGAGTCAGAAAAAGTCTGAGTTAACTTTTTGGAGAACCATGAAAACGGGCCAAAATATCCAAAAATAGTGCATCATAATGCAAGTAGAGTCCCCTGACAACTCCCCTCACATTCCTCCAGAGTCAGAAAAAGTCTAAGTTATCTTTTGGGAGAACCAGAGGAAAGGGGTGAAAATGGAGAAATTGTATCCCAAAATAGTGTCTCATAATTTCCTGACAACTCCCCTTGCATTCCTCCAGAGACCAGTTCAAAAACTTAAAGTTTGGTAAGAACCATACTGGGGGGTCTCCAGGCAACAATTGTATCCGAGCCAAAGCACTCATGGAGCGGATACATTCCTCCATGATGTGAAACAGCCGTTTTTTTTCTGAATGCTCTCAAAAACTGGGTTTCCGATTTCGTGCAGATGGTAGCTTGAAAAACATGAATGCATTTTTTTGACGGAGGAAGGGAGGTCTCGATTCCCCTCTCCGTTGTAAAATGCAACGGGGTAGTGAAAAGGTATCCGGGGCTTCCGCCCGAAGCGCCGAAGACTTGCGCTTTTTGGAGCCCCTCCTCCGTTGGCCGCCTATGAGCTCCCAAATTCGGCCTGGAACCTCCGGGAATTGTGGGCTAAGCTCCATAAACTGACAAAGTCACCCAGCAATGTCACTTTAATAGCCCAAAAATATATAATACAAATACATTTAAATAGTAAAAGGTACAATTGTGCTCCTAATTACCCGGAATTTGATTTATATAGCCCCATGATAGTCAATAAAAATCATTTTCATGGAAAAAAGTGTTAAAACTCCTAATTAATGTTTGTAATGCTGGCAGCAGGTTCACTGCTGTTAGCAGGGTCTCATACTCAAAGGCACACAGGCAGAGATCCAGGGTGATGCACAAGGCTTTCATACCCAGCAATACGTGTTTGAAAGCTGGGGGAAAGTGCAGCCAGAGAGAAGCGGCTGTGAGAGCCACAGAGCACACCCAGAGAGATCCTTTCAGCACATGGCTCTTGCACCCAGACTGCACCCAGAGAACAGGCTGCCTCACAGCACTTTACAAGCCAGGAAAAGTGATTGAATCCTGGGTATACATATTTTAAATAGTCTGATACCTCCAGGGCGCATCACCGCATTTTACAAGCCAGGGAAGGTGCCTGAATCCTGGGTAAACATTGTTTAATTGTTTAAGTGTTTTTAAATGTGTGGAACAGTGTTTTGTCACTTTCAAAACTCTCCCGTCATTGACCGGAGAAATTGGGTCGATGTTGTATTCAATCTGACCGTTAATATTCCAGTGAGACGAAGTACGGACAATGACCGGAGTGATCCCATGTTAATTTTGTCCCAAAACCAGAGCATTCCCTCACCCAGATTTGCCAATCACCGGAGCCTGGCAAAAGACAACAGCAGTTCAACAGCTTATCAACAGCTTATTCCCGCTGTTTTTAATAAACAAATAGACAAGAAAGCCGTGAGAAAAAAATAAATAACGGAAGCTTTTGGCATGTGTTTTTCAACGACTATGCGCTTTCTTATTATTTATGATGTAATATTTTCAAGACATTCTTTTTAGTTTTACAGCTTGATGAAACCTTTTTGTTTGACATCAGCCATTATAGATAATATGGCCATCTGAGTGTGCGTGGTACTGTTTGTGGTTTGTTTTTAACTGTTTTATACAGTTAATTATTCAAAATGTCAGAGTTCCTTATTTTTAAACTGAAACTTGCACTACTGTTCAAAAATAAATAACAACAAACCTGGAATGATGCATTTGGAACTTTTTTTTTATTTTTCTTGTTGTACCGAACCCGTACCGAACTTTTACACATTGCTTGCCGAAAGGGCAGATCTGTTTGCACTAACAATGTCTCCTGCTGTGGAGAACACCCCCTCGCTAGGGACAGAGGTAGCAGGTAGCGCTTTGCTAACATGGCAACATAAGGATATTTGGCGTTTGTAATAGCTTTGGCTCGGTCTGAAGTTGTTGCGAGTGGTGGAGGCTCAAATGCTAGTGGGAGTTGGGTTTGCACTTCAATCATTTTTTTTTCTTTTGGTACCGGTGATATTCACGTTCGGGTGATGCCTTTGAGTGTGCAAGTTTGATGTATTGCCAGCCGCGTAACCAATTTTAGTTAAACAATGCCAAACAGCTTTGGTTCGGTCCACCTGTCTTTGTCCGTCATCCTTGTACGTAACTGTGAAACCAAAATGTTTCCAAACCGGAGACTTCAATGATGCTGGAGGATTTTCGAGCTCAACTTTACCTGCGTTCGCCATTTCGACAGTTCCTCAAATTACTGACTAAATGTGAACGCATCCCTGTGACCAGCTCTCATAGTATGCCTCTCGTCCAATGAAATTACTTGGTCGCTCTATGACCCAATGAACCCAATATGAGCAAATTACACTGAATGCTGCGACGCAGCACCTGAGATTACTTCCAAAAAGTTGTTCACGTTCTCAATTTGTTACGTTTAACGTTATATTCGTTCGGTACACTTCGGTACACACCTGTACCGAACCGAAGGGCCCATACCGAATAATTTCGGTACGAATACGTATACCGTTACACCCCTAATATATATATATATATCATGATTTAAAACCGAAATAAATATCTAATGAGAAGTTTTCTCAGTGCTAAAAATTAACAATGTATATATATGTTTAGCAAGTTGATTCACCTTGACAGTTTAAAATTAAGATTTTTTAAAACCCACTTATATTACAGTTTACACATTACTTAAAATGTAATGGTTGCGTGTAAATGTGAATACCTGCTCTCATCCGTGGTTCTGTGAGGCTCTAGAGTGGTGTTGCTGTAAAATGCATAGTATGATTTGAAAAAAGAATTGCTTTCTTTAAATGAAATTCATTTCTTAACTCAGGTCCAGGAGCATGGCCACGCAGCAACCCCATCACGAATCAAGGCTAAGTCTATTTATATCCCTTATCATCCCTAAATCCCTTCATCCCTTATCCCTTATCCCTCCATCCCTTCATCCTGACATCCCTTAATCCCTTCATCCCAACATCCCTTACCCCTTCATCACGACATACCTTATCCTTACATCTCCATATCCCGACATCCTTTCATCCCGACAACCTGATATCCCTCCCTTTCCTTATCCCTACATCCCCTCCACCTGTCTCCATTCGTATTCAACTCGTGCATATTTTGCGGAATCATGCTGGGGACGGATCCCCCACTCTCGGTCTCCCTCTTCCTGGACCAAAGCACGTACTCCCAGAACAGACCAACAGACGTCATTCACCATCATCACTTAATAAGACCCTCCATATCAATTCATTGTTCCTCCTTCATTAAACCTACAAACAGTATACTGTTGTGGTGTGGTCCTTGGTAGTGAAATCTAAAATAAGATTTTCAAAGCCCACAAATTACTGCAAGTGTAATGTGTGGGAGTAATAGTGAATACCTGTGATCTGCGGTTCTAGGGGGTTTAAGGGTGGTAGTGCTGTACAATGCAAAGCATGATTTGAAAAGCAAATTGCTTTCTTTAAATGAAATGAATTTGTTAATTCAGTTTCAGGAGCATGGTCACCTCTCAGCCCCTTCGCTACTCAAGGTTAGGTCTATTTATATCCGCCAAACATCCGGCCATCGCTTGTCTCCATTCTCTCAACCCACCCTCCCGCTCCCTTCCACTCATACATTCCTATTTCCACCTCATCCTAACCCCCTTCATCACTCCAACCATCGACCCCTTCATCCCGGCATCCCTTATCTCTCCATCCCTTATCCCTTCATCCTGACATTCAGACATCCCTTCATCCCTCCATCCCTTGTCCTTTCCCCCCTACACCTATTAAGTTAACCAAATCAACTTAAGTGTTGATTGTGTCCACTTCATTGTTTTGCCTATTTCTGCTGCTATCAAGTGGCCAAAAGAGATCTGTTCATTTTCTGACGGCACCTGATAAATGTAATATGTGGACCAAGTGATAGAGAAAGAAGACTGCCTTCCACTCGTGAGTTTTTATTTTCTACATATGTTTTTACAATCCAAAATACTAACAAGCATTGTCTAACACGACCCAAACCGTGTCGTTGCACACATTTATATATTCTCAGAAATGCTAATGTTGTGAACCAACAACCACTTGGCACACAAATAAAGGCTCACACTTAAACTTTCCTCAGTTATACAAGCAGTGAATCTTATATTTCTAATTTATTTGAATACACTTCCATAAGAATTCAAAGTAGAAAAGATATTAACAAAACTGTGGTTACACTGATCAACTTCATGGATCAAAAAGCTTGTATGGGAACACAATAATTCCCATACAATTCTGTTTAATTAATGTCCTAGGTCTTTCGAACATTATAACATATGAACAAAGGATATATTTGAATTGTATTTTTATATTAGGGATTGATAGCCTGCAGTTTGTTTTCAGGCCTGTTAAATGAGTGAAGCACTAAAACTAGCAGCAGAGCTCAGTAATTCAATTATTACATACATTTGAAAATCATTTTTAACTGTATTTCAAAACAATCAATAATGCCAAAATTATAATTTGTTTGTGCAAATAATGTCAATTTAAGAGTTCATTTGCATGAGGAATGAGGACCTAGAAAAGAAAACATGGGTATAATAATCAACTCCCAATCATCAGTTTGACCCGGACAGACATGATCACAATAACAAATATATTGTCACAACATCATCAACTCTGTGCAGGCATTTCATTGACTTTCACATAAGCTGTTGTACAATGTGATACAGTTGTAACCAATATTTGTTTTACCCTTTTGAGTTACCCATTTTTGATCTGTGTATATAACTAGAGAAAAAACGAGAGAAAGAAAACAACAAAAGAAACGTAAAACGTAAGCGTACAACAGCTGAATAACTTTGCATTACGGGTCCGTCATGAGCTGAGGTTCAAGGCTTTTATTAGTCATACGTACATAGCTACAGTGTAGTTATGATGATGAAAATCTTAAGTCACAGGCTCACAGGCGAGATGTGCTTCAAGGTATCAAAAGTATCGCCGCTAGCACGAGGGTGAGGACAGGAGAACACAGCAAACCAGGAGAGAAGCCAGACATGCTGAAGCCGGAAGAAAGGAATAGATGAATTAAGATATGAAGATTTTAGACACTTACAAACATACACAACCGTATTTTGTAACAAGTGGAAGTAGTCTCAACAGCATCAAATTAAGCTTTCAAAGTCGACTGTTTTTATGGCTTACAAGGTTTTTCATCTATACTGTGTGAGTCAATATAAATACCTGTCATCGGTGGTTCTTGGAGGCTCACAGGATTTGAAGCTATAAAATGCATATAATAATTAGAAAGGTGTATATAAATCGAATTGCTTCATTTAATTAAAAAAAAAGAAATATATATATATATATATATATATGGCATCATTTGATAGACATATTAAACTCCTATGTTTTTCCAAAGAAACTCCAAAGTTCTGTTTTGACAATAACAAGTGGTTTTAGTGTTGAAAAATGATAACACAATGTCCTACCGTGATGAACAAGGGTCTTCTTTCAGCTCTTTAGGAGGATATTTAATATTCACTTGTCCAACTTGAGGAATTGGCAGAGCACTTCCATTGATGAGAGCAGTGATATCTAGCAAAGAAAACAACTTGGGTAATTATGTGCCATACTTACACTTAGTGCACATTTAAACATTTAAAGAAAAAATAATCAGCTTGCCTTGGAAGCTAAAGGTGAAAATGACACTTCCCCCCTTGAGGAACTCCCTGGTTTTTAATTCATCTTTATCGGAAAAAGTAGATCTGCCTTTCATAGTTCCGGCAAAGATGGTTTCACCATTGTCATCTACGTAAGGCAATCCATCCAGACGAGGATTGCCCCACACATAACTGCCTGTTTAAAGAGAGCAATAGATCATTTCAGAGAGCCGGTCCAAACCAGAAACTTCTTTTGTAAATAAATACTGAACACTTTTATGTTCCTTTTGACTTACCATTAGAGGATCTGCTTGGGTCACTGGTGATACTAAATTGCTTGGACATCTGCAGCTGGATGTTGGCGTTCTGGTCCAGCATTTTGAAGGTCACCTGCCTTTCTGTGCAAGGCCACTCCAGCCGGTCATCATTTTCACCAGACACGAATTGCACAAACAATCCGAAAAATGAATTATACAAAAAAAAAACAACCCTATAAGCATAGCCCCCGCTGGAGTATTGCCGAGGGCTGTAAATAGTGGTGCCATAACTACTAGAGTTCAAAGTCTGCTCAAAGTCATCAAGCTGCATGGTTACATGTGGACATTCGATCTCTGACAGATTGATGTCATCGATTGAGAAGCCGCCTGTAGAGCTTCCTGCTCCTTTACGAACATCAAACTCCACCTGGAAGTGCTTGGTGGCATTCAGGGACACATGATGGAGCTTCCAGTAGTTTGTTGGCTCACCTGGAAGAAGAATTTTGCAATGTCTGAATTGCATATATATAAACACAAGATAATTAAATGCTATATTTCTAGAGGATGATTACCATCAATCTGTCCCATGAGGTGTAGGGTTCCCTTTAGGTCCAATTCATCCTGAAACTCTCTGATCCAGATGTTGAGGTGGTCTGACATGTTCCCACTGTGGTAATAGTAGAACTGGAGACACTGTTCATGATGCTCCCTATTGAGACTCATCCTGTGGGTCTCCAGCCAGGCCGAGTCTCCCTCCTCACCTGATGCCGTGCTAACATGCATGAAGTAACCCGCATCTTCACCTAGAATGTGTATTGTCCAAAAAATAAGGAGTTATATATTTGTGTTTGTAATAATTTTCTGTGGGGATACTTGATAATATATTCAACAGTTCAAAGATAACATGACATTAGGGCGGGTGGCATAAGAAAGTTGGATAGGAATAGTACATATTTGTAATTCATTGTCAGGGAAAGTTTTGAAGTACACAAATGCAATGTTAGATTTAAAAATATTACCTTGTTCACTACTGCCACTGGGTAGATTGGTGTGGTCAGACATAGGACCCCCTGTAACATGTGTTACCATTTCCCAGCCAAGCCCACTCTGTGAACAGCTAGTCATTTGACACATTGTCTCTTTTGGGAAGCTGCATTGCATCTGAAATGCAATGGTTGACTCTGTAGAGTAAGATAGAGAACATTGGGTTGCGGACTCTTGGTTGAATGTAGGGTATCAAATCAAAATAAGACTGATTCCGATTTGTTAAAGGTTTTTATGGGTAGTCCTTTAATATTGAGGAAACCTTTAAGTTTGAAGTTAAATGTTCAAATACATGTTTTGATACACAAACTGAAACCAAATGGCCTTATACAGGTTCACAGGAATCATTGAGTAAGCTCTTATCTGGCTTTTGATAAGAATTAATGAAGAATAGCTTTAGTTCGAGCTTGTGCTGTAGTCAATTATAATTTTACCCAGCTAAAGTTCCTGAGTTCATTAAAATGCCCCTTGAAAACCTGTTGGGCTGCAAATAGCATTATTATATCTCCACCAACTTTCAAACACTTACTGCATTTGTAGAGGAGGTTCAGCTCCAGAACGTCTTTGGGACTCACTTCCATTCTTTGACCAATCACATCCTGGAACTTTGGGTCCTTGGTTATAATTGTTGACCCGTTGCCATTGGTGAAAGCATATTTGCCGTAGTGCATCACTGACCAGAAGTCGTACGGGACTCCCTGGGTGGTGGTGTTTTCACTGCTTTTTTTGTCAAAATTACTCTCTCTGCCTAGAAAAAGACATAAAAAAGCCAACCATTATTTGTTTAAACTTATTAAGATATGAAGAAGATTGTTTGGAATAATTATATATATTCATTGTTTCAATTTCAGCAGCATTTATCTTGCCACCAATCGATATATTTATATTTGAAATACTTTTGATTATACTGTCTGTATTTAGACAAAATATTGATGATATGTTTATGGACTAATTATTCTAATAAATTATTTTTTTCCAACTCATTGTAGGTCCTTTATATACCTTGATATAATCCTGTACATATAAAGAAGAGGCATGTTTATTAAGAGTCTTTAACAAACCTTCTTGGATGTTCTCGTTAACAATGGTCACATAATCATCTCTGTCAGATCTGGACTGTTCATGGTAGAAGCCCAAAGCATGGAGGAACTCATGTTCAATCGTTGAGATGAAATCACAGTGAGACCCGATGGAGATGTTCTGTCCGTTGGATGTTACTTTCCCAATATATGAATAACATCTAAAATGAGAAAGAGCAGTCATCAGCAACAGCATTTTGACTGACCTTACCAGGTCGTTTATCAAAAGCATTCATAGTGAAAGTAAAAAATATGCGTATAGGAACCGTCTGTAGAAAAAATAAAGACGTATATTTATCAAACATGCCCCTAAATCACAGCAGCTCATTTACATCCAGAAGCAAAATATGGTCAACCACATACTTATGAAATGTTGAGGAACTTTTTGTGGACAAAGAAGCTAACAAGAAAGGAATGGTAAAGACAGAACAAAATAAACATACCCATTTAACTTCTGGACGTGGATGTAATACTCCTCAGAGTCCCTTGGTTTGAAGTCAATACATGACTTCAACCTGAACTGGTCAAAGGCTTTCAGGATGAGTCCTTTAGCATTCATCGCTGCCATTGTTCAAGGGAATTTTTCAAATAGAAGAACAACAAGTAAATTATAATATGAATGCATAGTTTAGGTGGCTTTTTATTTCCTGGGAACATTACTGGAATATGTATGCTCTGGTGGACGCCTTTAATGATTAAGATCATGGCAAAGCAGCTTTGTTCACGACAATGTGCTGCTGCTATCTGGTTCTTATCTCCCAGGAACTGACTCCAATAAACTGGTTAGGTCAATGATATAACATATTTAACAAACTCCCTAACATGGCTCATAGCTTTTCTCTCTACCAAAGACACATGTTGTTGTTAATGCAGGAACAATTATATTTACCAAGGCCTTTGTCCAAAACGTATGGGACTGGAGATGTCCACAGTTGGTCCCCATCCGTAATGGCACTCCTCTGCGTTGGTGGTGTCTAAGAAGATTTACAAGAAATGTAATGGGTGACGGAAAATAAATCATATAAACCAAGTTTCAATTTCTTAATTTACAACAAAAAAAACCAACCTCCAGGATATCATCCTGTAAAAAATCTAAGAGAAAGCATAAAAGGGTTGTGTTTTTAAACAAAGAAAGGTGCTGCAGTTAAGTATGAACGTGAAAACAGCAATATTAACACAGGTCCATTGAATGCAACAAGTCCTCCAACTCATACGACCAAATGGGTCGATTGTTTAAGCCCTTATTACGACCAAATATGTCGTTTGTTCAAGCGCTTAATACGACCTATAATTACGTTTTAAAGTTGTCGGCCTCTAGTGCTCCCGTTGAATGCAAACGTTACAAAGGGTTGTTTATTCACAAATAACCCTCTCTGTTTGGCCATTAAAATGTAATGTAGTGTCTAAACTCCGAAAAAACTATTTGTTTCTCCGAATCGAAGGTTAAAAACACAAAAGCATTGTACACAATTTAAACCAATCAATATTGTGTAATTAACAAGGATAAACTGGTGTTTTTTAGTGGATGAGTAATGGAGATATCACTGTGTAATCATTTGACAGTGTGGGGAATACTTCCGGTTTTATTATGAAAACTTCGAGACCGGAAATACTGTTTTCACCCAAGCTAACTTTACATGGAAGCTGCCTCATATACAGTACACGTTCTCCTGGCGAGACCTCAAATTATCTTCGTATATCTATCAAACTGTAGATCCTACACATCCACTGGACGTAGATTATAAAAGTACAATATACACTTCTCGCTAGAAATCTAATAAAAAAGCATTTTAATGGCCAAACTATTCCACAATTTAGGATTTTCCAGAGGGTAATTTGTGAATAAACGACCCTCCGGAGCGTTTGCAATCGACAGGAGCATGTTGTTTCTTACACGACCACTAGAGGTGCTACACTTTAAAACGTGACTCTGGGTCGTATTTAGCTGCTGAACAATCGACCTATATGGTCGTTTTTTGTAGGAGGACAGGCTGATTGAATGATATGAAGATGTTTGACTTTACCCTTGTTTGCCTCTTCAATGCTCTTGTCATCACCAATGTCTAAAAAAAGTTGAAAGGTTGCCATATAAAATAACATTGATGAATTATATGATTATACTAGTTATATTGATCAAATAAACGAATACAACTTACCCACTATCAATGTTCCGACCTGTGAACAAAGACATTTGATCATATTAACAGATGTAATAATATAATATGTTATGTACAACATGAAACACAAATAACGTTATTGTATTCTATCTAATGATAGTTTTTTTGGGAAACAGGTACGCTTTAAAACTTTCGTCAAAACAATACGTAATTAATTCCTGCTATAAACTTTACGAAATGAAACACTGCAGTATGAAATACATCATGATGTGACAGAAAAATAGAACAATAAAGTAACTCTTACCGTTTTCGTGAGCACGATAATAAAATATCACGGTCACAACAAGGAAAATGTAGCCTTTCATCCTTTTGTCTTGGAATAAACCTAAACTATACACAGAGATATATGAATACACGTAAAAAATGTGACAATATATGTTTAAATATTATAATGAGAATATATTGCTCAACCAATTTAAACAATTGCTTTTTTTTCTTTAAATTAATCAATAAATAAATGATAAGTTTGATTAATTTGTATTTAAAGAAGACAGAAAGTGGTCATCTGCGTTTACCCTCTGCCAGCCTGATCGTCTGAGCCCTAACTGAACATGAGAGGCTTTGGCTGTAACAGATTAACTTGATATTTTATACAAAAGAAAGAAAAACAGGTTTTAAAACTATTCAGACAATGCTGTAAACACAGACACAGGGTTTCATCTAAACGTGACTTCATACAGAAATGTTAAATGGGTCTGCAGAATGACTCCCTTTTTTATTTATATGTTACTGTTTCACTTGTATAAACTGCCTTAACCTGTTAAGCCCCATGTCTGTTTTTCAGGTCTCAGGCTCGAAAATGACATTCCCAGAAGAAATGACTATATCTTCACTTCTAAAAGGGGGAAATGAATAAGCTTACAGTTTTGGGCATGCTGACTGTGCATCCTCTCATTCACCAATGGTAATGTTTAGATCAGGGGTGGGGAACCTTTTTCCTCTCAAGGGCCATTTCAATTTTTTCAACATCCTCCGAGGGCCGTACAAATGATTGAACTCTGCTTAAAAATACAAAATTCACAGCCTATTCATTTTGCCTTTCTTTCATGCTGTTGCAAAGAAAAAGCAACCTCTTAATCCAGATATCTTGCCATGACTCGCGAATGCATGCACGTGCACGGTTGTGGCATGACCACCAAAACAGAAGATATGGACACAAGATGTGTGCGAAATGTATTTAGTTTCCTATCCATGTGGACATGATTTAAGTGCTGGGGGGGGGGGGACCTAACCTCCTCTAGGGGGGTCCAAAGTTTTTTTTTAAATGTTGAAGTTAAAAGCATCAATCTGGTGCACTTTGAGAGCAATATTAAGAGATCTATGGATACATCTCTCAACACCCATATGAAACAGAACTGTAAACAGATTTTCTTTTTCTTTATGGATATTTTACAAATCACTCCTCCTTTCAAACTGTATTCTTGTTTATTAATAACAACTTTGTTTTACTGTCATATAGTATTTTATACCTGTTTACTTTATTCTCACATTTTTTTACAACTATAATGATCATATAAAGTTGTGCCTCACTGGTTGTAGAAAAAGCTTCTTATATTCGTTAGCATAGCCAGCTAACCAGATGCTAATAACATACATGCCAACCTTTCCAGGTTTGCGCGCGTCAAATATGCCCAAATTAGGTAATCAGAAGAAATGGAACCCCAGTAATTACATGTATAAACCATGTATTTAACATATATTGCATCATTTTATGCATTTTTCAGAAAAAGTGGTAGTTTGGTAAACAGTGACATCAACGACATGTCTGGTCTGTAAAATGCCCTAAAAGTAAAATCATGGGAGAATAAATATCCCAAATTCTCCCACATTTTATTATATGTTTAATGTGTTTCTGGTCCTCTTTCAGTTGAAGACAGTGTAGATGAAGGATGCTGTGTCAGGATGTAGAACTCTTGTGTGTGAACATTGGATAAAGCCAGGTTCAATAGTATTGTTTCATGTTGATGACATATTAGAGTCACAGGTTTGCACAGAGGCAATATCTTTGTGTTGCACGATATATCAGAAAATACTGACATTAAAAAAGTCATTCCTGCATTTGTCTACTGATAAAGTGTGATATAAATAATGTACAGGCTTTCAGATTGCTGTAGTTCACTAAACAGAGACATTAACGACATGTTGGTGTTGAAAATGTCAGAAAAAGTGAAAGAATTGGGAGATAAATATCCCCAAATCTCAAAATTGTAATTATATTTTGTGAGTGTTTGTGGGTCCTCTTCAGTTGAGACACTATAGGATGCTTCGGAAAATACCAAACACTGGATGTCTTTCAGTCGCCACATGTGTTTTCGAGACACTGATATTAACGGGGAAATCCTGCAGGACTTAAATGCCTCGTCGGGGATAACGCTGCCTTTACTGCCAGCGTTACCCCCGGTCTGGGGGGACCCTGATGTAAACAAGACGAAAGTCTTTCTCTGGTCTGCATCCCCTTAACAATTGTATGTTTTGAGCTGTACTGTACTGTACCCAATATACAAGCTGTTAATAAACTTGTCAATCAATCAATCAATCAATCAATCAATCAATCAATTACTCAATCAATCAATCAATCAATCAATCTGCACGTTGTTTTCTCTTTCAGAAACAGAGGACTGTTTGTATGATGCGATCACAGACACGCTGCAAACGGTGTCCGCCTAAAGTCGAGTCCAGTGTCTATGGAGTGTCATTTTTATTTGTTATAGTTTGGGAAGATTGAAAATCGGTAGGGAAAGCCAGGCTAAGTCGGTAGGGCGGTAGAAATATGTCAAAAGTGGTAGACTACCGCCCAAATCGGTTAGGGTTGGCAGGTATGTAATAACAACAAAGTTATTGACTGTATGACAGATGAACAGATCGCCACTGGCTTTCAACTAAAGACACAGCCACGCAAAAACTGCGGCATGTGTCCGGCTCCTTATGGGTACTCGCAATTTCTGAAGTGCCGGAGCTGCGTTCTGGTGCTCGTCCGTCAGAAACCCTACACCCCTGTCAGACGAGACATATACCACGCGATGACACATTAGGCTCGTGTTGTGTTCAAGGACCCTGACCTTGGCCAGGAAAAACAGGCACTCACTTGTTTAATTATTTGCGGTTTAAAATGTTTTTCTTTTTTGCGTGTGTTTATAATTACACTCTAGGGGGCCGTTCCAAATGGGCTCTCGCGGTCCGTATACGGCCAGGAGGTTCCCTACCAGTGGCGGTTCTAACAGGGTGGCCACGGGGGTGGCAGCTGCCACCTCAGAAAAATGCCTTGCCACCCCAGCTGTCACCCCAGTTGGCAGCTTTGTTTTGAAAATAAAGTTGTGGCTCATCGGACATTATGAGAGAAATCTCTAATGTCCGAGTGCAAGTGAATGCAGCACAAGAACGCGAGCCTTGTAACCCCTCCCCCCGGCCCTGGAAACGAGCGTGGAAATATGATTGGCGGCGATTTCATTTGAACGGGGGACAGCGCAAAACGAGAAGCATTTCGGATCCAAGTAGACGGAAGGAATGTATTTGCGGTCAGTGGCGGCGCCAGGGTATGGCTTGGGGTAGGCTACAGGCCATACCAAGAAATGGCTTAGCCCCACCATGAAAAATTATGTTAAGGTAAGCAAAATAAGTCCGCCAACTCGCGTGGAGTAAATTGCACAGACAGCAGTTAGTAAGATTGATTTCAGTAGCCACTTGTCTGGAAATACCGAAGACTAGAAACGGTTTTGAAAACTTTTGTCACGTAGTGATTGTCTTCTTAATAGAACATCTTTGATAATGTCTTCTGGCCAATCAGAATCAAGATAACGGCGTGGTGTTGTTGCAGGAAGTCCCGATACACCGATACAAAATTACGTGTTGATAGAAATCAACACGTAATGAAATAAGACCCCCACGGTTTGATGATTGATCGGTGTGTGGGGCTGTCTTTCATTTTGACACACAGAACAATGGGGGCTATCCACCCTTATCCACAATGTAAAGTAATTCACACAGCCTCTTCCCTCTTTGTGAGGAGCAGCAGGTTCAGCTTTCAGAACAAAGTAACAAAACAAAAAAATGGCTATTCTTTTTTTTAAATATGTCGTGAAGTAATAGATGATTTTTTTCTTCTCAGAGAGTACCAGAATGTGTATTTTGTTAGTATTTCAAAAAATCTCCTGGGGGACAATCCCCCCAGACCCCCCTGCAGGGGTTGGGTTTTCAGCATATCAACTCTTTCACCTGTGGGGAAATTGCAGGATTGGCTCCAGGTCACCCTTTTTATTTACTACAAGACAAATGTGCCTTTTTATTTCATACAGTTCAATTTGGATTGAGACAGGGAAATAATCTAAACCTCACGCATGGCGTTTCACTGTCAAGGGGAGCGTGTATGTAATACATTGCAAATACTGACTTGAGCCCCACCACTGTATGGGTTAGCCCCTACCATAGATTACCCAACACAAATACTCTGGAGCCGCCACTGTTTGCGGTCTACAATGACAGAGAAGAGCCTGTCAAGTTTGGCTGTACTCAGCATTGAATCAAAACGCACCATAGCTTTAAATCTTAATAAGTTTGTGAGGCGTTTTGCTGATCAAGATGGTAATCGCCACATTCAACTGTTATAGGCATGCCAACTTGATGCTCTGCTCACGGATGAGTCGATGAGAATAATAAACTGTTAAGATGATGACCTAACGTGTGTATAATATGTTTCTTCTTTGTGGGGTTCTGCCCCCAAAAACAGTTTCAAGTCCTGAGAAAGTCAAATAAGACGGTGTGTAAAACTTCACTGCCCAGCCAAAAGAAAGTAACCACTTTGATTGAACTAGGCCAGTAGGTAAGGACTTTCCACTGGATAATAACTGCAGCGATGTAATGTATATGTTTTAGCTGAATACACGTTTTTGAATCCTAATTGATGCAGTTAGTCACTTCTTTGATGTTTGTTCTTTCTGATGTAAAGTCAAGGTTGTAACTGTTTGCGCTGAACTGTTCTTTTGATTCTTTTGATATATGATAGTAATTACTTGTCTTTCAAATTTGAAGGAGGGTGAGCAAGCATCTTGAGGAACATTCATCATTATCTCCTCCAGCATATATAGTTTATTAAATAATAACACTGAATATGTGAATCATAACAGTGATTGACAGCTGATAGGAATAATATGATTGTTAATATTATCATATTCATACAGACAAACATCGATGAGACAGTTAATTAATGTACTTATTGCAGCAGTCTGCATAGATTTGGTACCCCTGCTGGTCTAAGAGTGAGAACAAACTCATTCAGTTATTGTTCGGTTTAAAATTCATTAAATGATGTCTGCCACCTATATTTATATTTAAGGCTTTACTGATGTGCCACAATAATGTCACCTAATGTTATTGAGTTAAAATATAAATATTGTGGCTTTTCCAAGTTAACATTGATTGATATGACTGCGATTAAATCAGCATATACTTCTGCAGGGGATGCCACTCCTGAAATTCTCCTGCACCCTCTTGCCACCCCATGAATATTTTTCTAGATCCGCCCCTGTTCCCTACCCCTGGTTTAGATGGATTTAGGAACTTCCCCTCG